ACGTCTTTTGACTCTACCCCTCCACCTATAGCCCAAATAACTCATTTGACCATACCCCCTCCACCTATCCACTGTTTGACTACCAAATCCCACAACAACCAACACACAATTTCCAACCCGATTCGATGTACGAATTCAGACAACCATACCGTCCATACTCCACCCAACCTCCCCGACAATCCTACGAACACATGTGCATTGGGCTTAACTACGGAAGCGCCGTTGATAGTGAACCTCCCGGCTATTGGGGTCAAATGCTTTAAAATTTATCTGATACGTCGGGGCCGTCCCAACAAATACCTCTTCCACAACTCAACACCCAAAGACCGGACACACCTCAGCAACCTCGTGGTAGACCTCGTCGCCGCGCGCATCCTCCAAAATGTGGCACCGGTGGTTGTTTAGATAGAGCCAGACATTAGTTATTATTTTTTATTTTTATCAATTGTAATTTATATTCTATTATAAATTAATATATTTTAATATTTCTTTCATTTATATTTTTTTTAGATTATTTAAATTCTATCCTTTTTTTTAATATAAATTATAAAATACAAAAAATATAAAAATATGAAATAATTAAATAGAAATTTTTTTATATAAATAATGAAAAACAAAAAATATAAAAATAATAAACAAATAAAATGAAAAGAAAAATGACAAAACGAAAAAAAAAATTTTTGGACTCATTTGCCAATCTAATTGGCGAATCCAGTGACCCATTAAACCAACTCGCCAATACAAATGATGACAGACTTAATTTTTGAATTTTTGAATGCATTCACGATTTCAAAATTTTGAAAAATATTTTAAAAATTTATTTTGTTTGAAAATTAATTTAAAATACTTGATTATATTAAAAAAAATTCCAATTTTGCAATACACAAAAGAAAAAGCTGAAAAATCTCAAGGCGCCAAAAATTCCAAAATCACGAGCGTAGCAATATCAATGGACCACTTATTTCTTCCGCCACGTCATCGATCCGTTCTCAGTTTAGTCTAATATCCAGACCGTACCTTGACCTCCCATCAACGATCCAAAACAGCTCAGTGAAACCCACCCAGATCGATACATTCTCCCCCAATCCACCAACAAGATCTATAACGATCTAAATAATCTCGCCTATAAATAAAACCCCCACACAAAAAACCCATCACAGCAAAACCAAATTTTCTACTACTCGTCTTCTAACTTTAGCAATTCGTTATTTACATACTCTGAAATCAAGATGTCAGGTCGTGGAAAAGGTGGAAAGGGTTTGGGAAAGGGAGGTGCAAAACGACACCGTAAGGTTCTCCGCGATAACATTCAAGGTATTACCAAGCCGGCTATTCGTCGTCTTGCTCGCAGAGGAGGAGTAAAGCGTATTAGTGGCCTGATCTACGAAGAAACACGCGGTGTTCTCAAGATCTTCTTGGAGAATGTGATTCGTGATGCTGTTACTTACACCGAGCATGCCAGGAGAAAGACTGTTACTGCTATGGATGTTGTTTACGCTCTGAAGAGACAGGGAAGGACTCTCTACGGATTTGGGGGTTAGGGTTATACTTAGGGATTCTTTTTTCCATTGTTTTGTTGTTGGTTGTAATTGATGTATATTCCGGAGTTGAAGTGTTGCAGCTATTGGGAGGGATCAATTTGATACGACTTTGCTTGTAGCATTTTGTAATCCAATTTCTATAATGTTAAATGTTACAACCAGCTTATTTTCGTTATTGTATCTTCTGATATATCTGTATTATTACTTTAGCTGTTGAAATTAAGTATCACTGTTACATTATATTGTTCTGAATTGTGATGCGATAATCATATTCATAAATCGTCAATAGATAATTCAATTAAGATTTTGCAGTTTTGTAATTTAATACTTAATTTAGGATGAGTAATTAGGTGGATGAGTTTAAAAGCTTAAAAAAAATCCATTAAAATTTTGAATTTAGGGTAAAAATCAGACCAAAATTCCAAATAAAGCTCATCGATCCATTAAGCAAATATTATTACTACAATTTTAAGGATTTAGATGGATATTAATTTAGTTGTAATTTTAGTCTCTTGAAGATCTATCATTTTAATAAATAATTATTTTAATTAATTTTAGATGTTTCAATCTTTTGTTACTTTGATGTTAATTTATTATTATTATTATTTTATGATAATTTTTATTAACTGATCTTATTGTTTAAGAATAAGTGACAATTTCAAGGCATAATATTTTTATTAGTTAATTTTTTTGGTGTAGGAATAAAAACACTTGTTTTTCCGAAAAAATACCAACACCAATTTGTCACTTAATAGATACGAGTTTGAGTTGTGCGACCCAGATCCTAGGTGTGATGAATTAGACCTATGACTAGCCATTTCATGACTAATTTCTCTTGTAGCTTTTTAGGACGCCTTTAGGATGATTGAAGTAAGAGTCAATATTTTTCAGGATCCGATTAAAGTCATCTTAGTCCATTGTCTCTCAAGAACGGGACATAGGAAGGACAAAGTGATTTAAATTATGTAAATGACAATCTCTTATTAGAAAAGAGTCGTAGAAACAAAGTCCCTCGAGTGTTACTTAGGGTAAAGTCACTCAACTGAGGTTTAAAGAGCGAGTCCTTATAGTTTGAAAAACACATAAGAAACTTAAAGTCGTGTTATGATGAACTTGTCTTAGGAATGTATATGCATTATGAGTTTCCAATTAATCTGCATGCGTTAAACTTTAGGCATATATGTTCTTTCACCCACTCGCAAGCGCAACCCACTGTTTGGTAAAGATGCCTACTCGACCTAATTATCTAGCCTTAAAAATGTGTGAATCTTGATCGATCATCTCACATTTCTTTCCATCGCATTCTACATTCCTCTAAGAAATTACTCTTCTCTAAGTTCGATTCTACCATCACCACCAAACCACACACTCAGGTGTTGAACATTTTCTTCTCATTTATCTTCTCTATTTAGGGGATGGCGATTTGTAGGGAGTTAGACGAAAATAACAATGTCAAATAAATGCAAAGCTTTGAAGAAAATGCAGAGAGAGAGAGAGAGAGAGAGAGAGAGAGAGAGAGAGAGAGAGAGAGAGAGAGAGAGAGAGAGAGAGAGAGAGAGAGAGAGAGAGAGAGAGAGAGAGAGAGAGAGAGAGAGAGAGAGAGAGAGAGAGAGAGAGAGAGAGAGAGAGAGAGAGAGAGAGAGAGAGAGAGAGACGTATTGATCGAAGTGACTATAAATTACTAATATTCATCAAGACAATGCATATCCATTTTCATCATTTTTTGTGTGTAACCTTTCATCCCAAGTTACTGTAGAGTTTAATGAGTTATTATTGTAAATTCAACAAGCTTCTATTTACCTATAAATAGGGAGTTAATCATGAATAGAAAGTCAAGTTGAATTTTGTTAAACAAACACATAATGTGAAATTGAAAATTTTACTCATTTATTTTTGGATTGGACCAAATTTTTTATCTTATCAAGAAATCTTATTTTTTGTGATGATCTTCACTAAGACTTATCATCCATTCTAATTAATTGAAAGAGTGTAACACCCATTTCTATCTCGTTCCATCTATTTCTTTCTAAATTTTCCCCTGTTACAATTTTGTCCCAACACAAATTATTACATAAAATATGTATTCATACGTTATCTTATCAGTTTAAAATCACAAGCTTCATAAATTTAACAAAGTATAAGAAAAATACTTGAATAATAAATTGGTTAGCCATCAAGTAGTATCATGAACAATGTTGATATATGACTATTTTTTATTGTAAAAATACTAGAACGCATGTGTTCGATGATTAAAATTACAAGCTTGTGATTATTCATAATTCTCTATTTACTATTATGTTCTAGTTTTCCTTGCTAATTTTTCTTTGTCATTTTTTGTCCTTTATTTCCTTGTTTCGTTTCTATTTTTCATGTGTGATTGAATTTGCTTTTTTTTAAGAATTAAAAAGAGAAATTGAGTGAAAAAAAATACAAGAGTGTTCATTATAAAAATAAAACAGTTTGAGTGTAAACACACAAAGATTATTATTATTATTATTATTATTATTATTATTATTATTATTATTATTATTATTATTATTATTATTATTATTATTATATTGCGACTAACCATATCAGTTCATGTGATGATGACAACCTTTGTCAAATAAAAGATAATAGATTGTTGTTGGAAACTCTCACATCTCAAATAAGAAAGATAATGACAAAACAAACAAAGACAATATATGCGAGAATTGATCAATTATAAAACTTACAAAAAATTTTTTGATGAGGAGGAGAGCTTAAAGAGAAGGAGAGAGGAAAAGCCTAGAGGAAATATTGAGTGGTATAAAAATAAAGTTTTAACCTTTTAAGGGAGAGATAACCCATATGCTTATTTAGAGTGGAAACAAAAATTAAACAAATTTTTGTTTGCAACACTTATACTAATTTTCAAATCAAAAAGCGCGAATTGCTGCCCATAAATTTACAAAATATGTCTTGATATGGTGGGATTGAACTGTCAAAGAAAGAAGTTTGACAGAAGAAGTTATAAGAATAAGCTATCAACATTTGGGAGAAGATGAAAAGGAATATGAAAAAAACATTTGTGTCTTTCTATTATCACAAGGACTTGCATAATAAATTACAACGACTTACTCAAAGGCTCTAAAAGTTTTGATAAATATTACAAAAAGATGGAGGTTGCAAAGATGAGTCAATGTAGAGGAAGATGATAAAGCAGCCATGACTATTTCTCCATGAACTATTTCTAGTGCAAAATTGTCCTTTCTCAAATTTGACACAGATCATGAGCAAAATATGCACATAAAGTTTTGTAATTAAAGAACAAGTTACAGCATGCTGAAAAAGACCATTTCACAGAATTGCATACTTAGCAAATTGGTCTTTATTTACAACTCTATTGTGAGGAATAACAGTACTACAGTTTAGAACACACAAGCCACCAAAACCATAAAAAGTAGTGTAATATGTAGAATTTAAATGTATTATTCAATGTCACCTTCCCTCAGATTTCACCAACTGAGAGAATACTTTACTCATTGAAACACCGGAAAGATCATCAAGACTCGAAGCTTCAAATTGCGCAACCAAAACACTTTTTTCGTGGTCAAAGTTATTGATTTGCGGAGAGAGTTCACCGATCATGTTTGTGCTGTTTTCTTCAGGATCGCCTTGAACAACAGCCTCTTGAAGTTGAAGAGCATACTCCAGATTCCACAATACGTCTCCCATTGAAGGCCTATCAACACCAAAATCAGCCAAACATTTTTCAGCAGTTTCTCCAAATTTTCTTAGGGAATCCGGTCTGATTTTCCCCTCAAGCGTTGGATCCACGATTCGCGCAAGTTCTCCTCGTTTCTGCCATTTCATCGACCATTCTGCTAAGTTCACCATTTCTCTAGGAAGAGATGGATCTATAACAGGTCTTGCACACAAAACCTCAAACAAAACTACCCCAAATGAATACACGTCGGATTTCTCTGTTAACTGCTGCCTTCTGAAATACTCCGGATCAAGGTAGCCAAAACTCCCTTTGACGGCCGTGCTCACATGCGTCTGATCGACTTCCGGTCCGATCTTTGATAGTCCGAAATCGGCAACTTTCGCCATGAGGTTCTCATCAAGAAGGATGTTTGCAGATTTTACATCGCGGTGAATAACCGCCATAGCATAGCCGGTATGAAGGTAATGGAGTCCCCTAGCTGCTCCGATGCATATCTCGAGCCTCTCTTTCCAGCTTAAGCTGGGGAGACCCGAGCCGTAGAGATGACTCTTGACAGTTCCGTTCTCCATGTACTCATATATCAAGATCATTTCATTCCTTTCATCACAATATCCAATCAATGATACCAGATGGCGATGACGGAACTGGGACAACATTTCTATTTCGGTTCGGAATTCAGCAAGTCCCTGATGTGACCGAGGGTTCCCCCTCTTACAAGCAACTTTAGTTCCGTCATTTAGTTCACCTTTGTATACCTTACCAAAACCACCTACGCCAATAACCCAACTCTCATCAAAATTGTTCGTGGCCTCTTGAACTGCCACAAACGGGAAGCGATACCCGAAGTTCGAAGCAGCACTTCCTGTTGTGGCGTTTGAATATTTACTTCCCATTGTGTGAGAAGTTCCGTCGTTGATCGATAAAGGAACCCATGTCTTTGAATGCCCTTGTTGTGCCAACCGTCTTCTTCTCATGAAGAATACAAAGAAAACTCCAACCACCACGCAAAGTATCCCAAGACTCACACCAACTATCACGCCAACTTTCTTAGAATTCGAACCATGATTACTCGTCAAAAACACGGCTGTCGATGCACTGAGACTGCTCTTAGAGTTGTTCATTTTCATGATCTCAACACCATTCAAAATGGCATTAGGATAATCACTATTTGCATCAGAAGGGCCAATACTCACAAGAATTTTATCGTCGACCGACGTTGGTGTAACGAAATCCATAAAATAAGGAGTAGCCAAAATATTATTAGTCTTTCCACTGAGATCAAGATCCTTTGCAGCTAACAAAGAATCAATGTAAACATTGAAATAGAGTTCATTAAGACTTTTACTGACAATATCACAAAAGTGAAGTCGAACAAGATATTGAAATTCCGGCTCCACATCAAACCTCCATGTCACATTGAAATTGCTCCGCGGATCACTATCCGAGTTCATCTCTGTTAAAGTACCATAAACACTAGCAGGAGCAATATTTTCCGTTGGTCCCCCTTTTACATATTTAACCGCACCTATACTCGAAAAATTTCTAGCAAGGTTAGGCAGTATAAGAAAGCTTACATCAGGAACCCAAGTTCGACGAAGCGGATCAGCGCCAAAAGAAACACTCGGACCACCCATGTTAACCCTGAAAACCGTCTCGAGTGCCTGTGTCAACAACCCCTCATAACTTCTCCTCGGACTCAACGCGATAGCATCATCGGCAATTAACTCATCCGGCATGGAAACAACTTCAATCGCATTCACGAAAGCAGTTGAATTCTTCGACGGGGCAAACGTTACAACAACTGTGTCTAAGGTCACATTCACTAAATACTCCTTCATAACACCATTTCTCCCCAACACACTAAAGTTACTAACAAGCACAATGTCTTGAGCCATAACCGCAAAATTCGCAGCACTAAGATTGTAATTTTGATACGAAAACGGAAAGAAATGAAGCCGGATCCAAACCCTACCCTTTTTGCTAACAGGAAAACTATACTTTGAAGGTGAATTGAAGATTCTTGCAGTTTGATAAAGAGGTGAATAACCAGTAATGGAATTAATAGAATTCAAACTAGTATTCGCAAGAATATCTTCTTGTGTGGAGAGAAAATTCTTATAGAATTGATCTGAAGTGAAATTGAGATTTCCTATAGAAGTATTTGTATGTGAACCACAATCTATAAGGTAATTATCTATAGGAACAAAGTTTGCAGAAAAACACATCAAAGGAAAAATGGATAATAATAATATCAACAACACATAGATGAATATAATAAATAACCAACCTTCTCTATGATTCCACATCATAGTGACAAAGAATTAACTCTTCCCTTTTCTCTTTCAATTGAATCCTGATACATGCAATGACAAAGAGGTGGAAAAAAAATAGAGAAAGAAGAAAAACTTTGAATATTATACCTCAAGAAATAAGGACACAGGAACTAGGAAGATCTAAACAAAACAACCTTAACAATTTGATATAGTCCTAGATTCTTGTATGTACTAGTTTTATTATTTTACTAATATTTTTGTGAAAGGGTTTTTGGTGCAAAATTGAAGAGAGGTGAGGTGGTAACTGACTGTGAAGCAATAAAAGCAAGAGTTAATGGTACTGTTATTATAATATATAGTAGAAAATTGATAACAGATGGATATGGATGAGTGTTTATTGTTGTTTATATAATTAAGGTATTAAGATATGGTTGATTTTGTTGCTTGTTAGGTTTGGTTTTGATGCTGGCAATAACTATCAAATCAAAACCGGAAAATAGTTGGTAAAGTCATACTTATACCTGTAAATGTAATATATACTATTACTATTGTCATATCAAGAATTCTTTTAGTATTGATGCTTTTTATTTTTGACAGCTACTTTAGTAGTACTTATCTAATTTGTTGTTTTGAATAAGCAAAGATTGATTTATTTAAAACACTCACATGGAAGCACAAGCTATTTCCCTCATTTTCTAATCGATTGATCTGCATACATGTTAACAAAAATAGGTAAATAGTAATGCTATTTTTTTAATTGCAATAAATATATAGTATAATTAAAAAATAAAAAGAGTACACAATAAAAAATTCATAAGTGTTCAAACAATTTGCCATATCTAAAAAAAAAACATGATCTTCACTGACACGTTGCACGCTTGCGAAATGATTAATAGAGCTGTTATCGTATTTTATTTATTTTAAAAAAAAGAAAGAGAAAATATTGATAAAACCCCTAAAAGAGCGGCAATGATATGATTGTCGCAACCAAATCAAATTCAGGAGTCGATTATGCGAGGGGAAGATATTAGCACCCCTCACATCCGTTATACTCAACGGAAACCATTTAGTTAATTTTGCACAAAAGTGTTAGCTTAAAAATGTTTGTTTTTCTTGAATTATTAAAAGTTTAAAGAGAAAAAGAAAAAGGTTACAAAAAGGTTTTTATATATTCATGTGTCTAACGAGATTGAGGGTCTCGCTCCTACATATCTCCGGGTGCGATGGAGAACTCAAGGCTACATAGATCTGCGTAGAAAATATTTGTTTGTGGGTCGATTTTAGTGAAAATTATTTTGTCATGATCGACGGAAAAACATTGCTTACCCAAAACAATGGAGGAGAGTGCGTTTGCATGACAATCAAATAAATTTTTATAACATTCGCAAGAAAATGTCACTTAACTCACACACATATAAGTGGACAAAGCGTTTGTTTTGCCTTGTCTCGAGACAAAATATCTTTCATTTGTGAAAAGAGTTATGAACACACGGGGGCGAGAAAAAGAGTTTGATGTGTTGATATTATTTTTAGGCGGACGACGAATAATCAAGTAATGAAGCGTGTGTCAACCATTCGATTATTCGAGTAGCAGGAAAGTGTAAATCTCTCATTCCTTTTTCGTCCAAGTTACTTGAGAAAATTATTTGGGGAAGACGAATACTCGAGCAATATGGCATGTGCCAATCATTTGATTATTCGAGGAGCAAGAAAGTGTAAACCTCTTATCCCTTTTTTGTCCGAGTTAGATTAAAATATTTTATTCGGATGACAAAATATCGAGCAATATGGCGTGCATCAATCATTCGATCATTTAAGAAGCAGGAAAGTGTAAACCTCACATTCCCTTGTCAACCGGTTTTTATTAAGAAAAGGTTTTACATGCTTCGGATAAGCGGAGAAGAAAACTCGATGTTGATCGAAGGTTTATCGCGTTAGTGGAAAATGATTTGTGAAATAATTTGAGTTAGTGGTAAAATATGGTTGAAGAATAGATTATAGGTGAGAATCGTAACACAAGGTTGCGAATTGCATCGCGAGGGGTAAAAATTCTAGTATAATGACACGAACTATAGCACAAGGTGTAATTTAACACCACAAAGTAAATTGAATCATAATATTGTACAAAGCAGGAAACAAAGAAATAAGATATGAGTACATAGAAAATAGTTACAACCCGCATTCATAATAATTGAATCGAAAGAGTAAAGAAAACTAAAACACACGGATCAAGATATCTTAACGCGAGAACGCGAATTGAGATCATGTAACGCAATGACGTGCGATGCAAAACTGCAAAAGCAGAATTCAAATTCGATTTAAATGTAACGATGTTGGATCGTTGTCTCTTAACACAAATCAAACTTCACATTGTTAATGCACTATGCGCTTATAGAGAATAAATCAAAACACAAACAAATATTAAATCGCGAAAGCAAAAGTTACATGTTGAAGGACGAAGTGGCGAAAAGCTAAAATTTAGATTGTCGCTATGCTAAACCATCGAAAGCGCATACGAAATTGAATTAAAACATAATGACAACCAAATTTAAAATTTCGCACGCAAACCAAGAAAATTCCAACAAATGCTAACGCTTAACGCGATCATCACAAATGGGTCAAAATACATAATAAAACCAACACAAAGAAACGAAAACATAAAGAAATTATGTGAAAAACGATGTCTTGAAACAAAGTATAAACGATTTGTTTATGATCAAGAAATACACAAGGGTTAGGGTTAATAGAAAAACAAGAAGAATAACAACAAAGATTGATTATAACTGCTATTATTTACTTTCTCTTCAAATGAGATTACAAGTACTAAAGAATAACAAATAACCCTCTCACCCTAATTAGGATTTACCACACTTAAGATGAGAGACTAGTATGCTATTTATAATAAAACCTAACATACTAAACTAATGAGATTTTTAACAATTACCCATTACAAGTTAACTTAGGGTACAAGCTAACTTAAATAATTGGACATAACAAACATGCCCAATTAGACAACTACATACTAGAACATATTTCGATTACAACATGCAGGTCTTCGACAATAACTTGTGAGAAGACTTCGACGGCATGCTAAACCTCTGTCGACAATACTAGAATTAGATCCAATATCTCACAAGTCCCCACCTTGGAACAGACTCTATAACATCAAGAAACAAACTAGCTTTTTTATGCAGCTTTATCAACTACATACAGTGGAGACAGTTGCAACTAGCCAATACCTTGGTGATTATATCAGAAACATTATGATCTTCGAAGCCTTCAGCACTTGGAATTCTCCATGCTCGATTACCCTTATGATGAAATGCAACCTCACATCAATGTGCTTGGTTCGCTTATGATAGGCTGAGTTCTTTGACAGGTGTATTACACGTTGACTATCACATTTAACAATGATAACTCGACCTTGAAATTTCATCTCCTTTGCAAAACCTTCAAGCCACAATGCTTCCTTCACAACTTCAGTTAGGGCGATATATTCTGCTTCAGTGATTGATAAGCCAACAACCTTCTGAAGTGTTGCTTTCCAACTGATTGTTGTGCCAAACATAGTGAACACATATCCAAAAATAGATTTTCTGGAATCCATACAACATGCATAATTAGAGTCGACATATCCTTGGATTGTTTCTTTACTATCTTCACCCAAGGCTCCACCATAAATTAAGACTTTGTTCAGAGACCCATTTATGTACCTTAGAGTCTACTTCAAAGCTTTCAAGTGAGCCTTTCTAGGATTCGCCATGTACCTGCTTACAAGACTTACTGCATATGTTATGTCAGGTCTAGTACAGGCCATAACATACATCAAAGAAACCACTATATTAGCATATGGAATTCTATTCACATAAGCTCTTTCAACATCAGTACTGGGACACTGACCTATACTCAACTTGAGTTGAGGGTTTGTCAGAGTCATAATAAGTTTTAAATTCGACATGCTAAACTTTTCGAGAATCTTCCGTAGGTATGCCTCTTGAGATAAGCATAATTTTGACTGCCTTCTATCTCTTCAGATGTCAATCCCAAGAATCCTATAAACAACTCCCAAATCCTTCATGTCGAACTCCTTATTAAGTTCAACCTTCACCCTCATTAGATATTCAACATTATTTCTTGCTATTAGAATATCATCCACATAAAGCAACAAAATAACAAATGAATTACCATGTCGAAATCTAAAGTAAACACAGTGGTCAAACTGACTTTTATTAAAACTTATGCGTGCCATGAACTTGTCGAATCTCTTATTCCATTATCGAGGATATTATTTCAATCCATATAAAGATATCTTTAGCTTGTACACATAATCTTCCTTCCCCTTTTCGACATACCCTTCAGGTTGCCTCATTAAGATTATTTCATCTAGATCACCATACAAGAACACAATCTTCACATCTATCTGTTCTAGTTCAAGGTCGAACTGTGCCACTGTGGCAAGCAACACTGGAATGGACCTGTGATTCACAATATGAGAGAACACATCATTAAAGTCGACACCTTCTTTTTGAGTGAATCCTCTAGCGACCAATCTTACCTTGTATCTCTTCGACGCTAATGAGTCCAAGCCTTTGTGGTTGGCATCAATTTTGGTAAAAATAGATTTTCAGCAAGATGTTGAACAAGATGTCCTAACATGATAAAGAACTAACTGAAGATCTAGATGTTGGGCAAGATGTCTTATCATAATGATTCACATCTTTGTTTGTTATTTTTTAGTTTTTAATTCTGCCATTTTAATTCCAATTATCAGATTATTCTAGGAATATTTGTTTTTCCTAGGTGGTGCCCAAGATCGAGGAATCAGAAATTCTGACTATAATTTGAAGATGTTATTTCTAAGTACAAAATACTTTATGAAACTTAGGATTGAAGAAACTATTCTAGAGGAGAATTAGTTGCAGATTCTGTGGAACAAAATTGCTGCATTTTTGAAGCCTAAGTTCAGTCTACTTTATGGTTATAAATAGGATGGATTTAACCTAAGAAAGGTGTGAAATTTACATTGTTGCTTAGTG